CGGGCTTTTATACCGACCACGCGCTGGTGATCTGTATGCAGGCTAAGCAATATTTTTTTCCGTCTATATTTCTGAGATGAGGTATTATGTACACTATTTACATTATTCAGACTATTTTCCTCAAGGACACATGGCATAATGGAAAAAGGCGTTAGTTAGATCCAGTGACAGGACCCAAAGTGTGTGAGTTCAATATCTGGTTAAGGCAATGGAGAACTTGGAGAGGAGAATTAAAAAGGAGATAACTGATAACTGACAGCCATTAAACATGGAACTAAAAACAGTCTACCCCAGTGAGCGAAATAAAAGGTTCAGTTCGACATTCCAACCATCTGAAATTTAATATTTTAAATTACAACGGCCGAAACGTTGTAATAAATATGGCGACAAAGATGAGGACAATAGGAATGACAGAGGAATGGTGAAAAAGTGACAGCAAACAGTGCCAAGTAGTGGAATCGAGTAGTGAACACAGAAATTGAATGTGGGCAGGCTACAAAACAATGGATCAATGAAATGTTCGCAGATATAGAATGAGCAATACAAATACAGCAAGTCTGCACAGCAGAATAAAAGAATTATCAGGACAAAAGCTGAGCTAACCAAGAAGCTCTCTAAAATGAAAGAAAAGATAACTGATAATAGAAAAACAAAAAAGTACTCAAAAATATGTCAAAAAGCTTTTCACGATGCGGCATTTTTTTTACAACGCTTTGAAATATGGAAATGTAGTCATACGATTTCACATACATCCTTAAAAAGATGAAGATTCTTTTTCCTTTTAAATCAATTTAATGACCAAGACTTTTCAGGAATCCTGTTTCTAGCCTAATTTTGAATTGGTAAAAAGAATTTCTGAGTGATTTTAGATTGCCGTAAAAGTATTGTCCTTTGAAAAACTGACACCCAAAAGCTGACTGAGTGGTTCCCTTTTCCGGTTGGTGGAACAAGTGGACGAAGAGGAGTGGTGGGTCCCCCATCCAGTATCCATATAATGAATGGTCACAGAAAGGACCAAGAGTCAGTGAGAATAACTGTTTTCCGTGGCTGAAGCTAAGCGAGAAATCATTTGATTCTCCTTTGGGATGATATCGTTTGCTGATATCACTAAAGCTTCTCTTAGTACGTTCCATTTTGAATTTCCATTGTGTCCCTCGTATCTTTTCCCACTGTCCATTATCCTTTGGGATGATATTATTTGCTGATGTCACTAAAGCTTCTCTTAGTGCTTTCCATTTTGAGTTTCCATTTCCATTATGTCCCTTGTATCTTTTCCCACTGTCCATATATTTTTCTTTCAGGTTCGGGTCGCTTAGGAGTTTGTTGTATTGCAATTTGGGTACTGCGTTTGTGTTGTAGAGTAGTTTTCACAGTGGAGGCTTGTATTTCAATAAGTCGGTCCTAAAAGGGTCCGACGTACAAAACGTTAGGGACTTGAAATAAGAGTTAATGACGCAGCAATCTAGTTGTGATGGTTGATACTTCAATGCCCGACATCGACTGACTCACTCAACTCCACTGAGCTCAACTGGCGACCGCTACTACTACTTATGTGTGGGAGAGTCTATTACAATAGAATAGGTAATGCTCTGGTTAAACAGTTTAGCTTCTTCAATTTCCGTAGTTTCACTTAGTTTGCACATAACAGGGCGATGATCGCTCCTGCAGTCGGCACACAGGTAGGTTTTGCAGTGAACCATTCCTGAATCTTTTGTTGATAGTTATGTAGTAATTTGTTTTTAGTTTTTCCTCCGGGGCTCCTCCTTGTCTATGCGTTGGCTATTACGTGGTCGTTGGCCGTGCACCATTGGATCCATTTTTGGATCCATTTTTCTCTACGTTCGTTGCGAGTTTCTAGTCCAAATTTTCCGGCTACATCTCCTGAACTCTCACTGCCTACTTTGACGTTCAGGTTTCTCATTATAATTATGACTTCTTACGATTTGCAATGAGCCTTGGCATTGTCTATGCATTCATTAGAAAGATTCGATTTCTTCTTCATTACTTTGTGCTGTCGGTGCATATACTTTTATGATAGATACGTTGAAAGGCTTACCTTTCAGCTTGACTACCAGAATTCTTTCGGATAATTGGTAGCATCCCAGAACGCACCTCTTGAATTCTTTATCTAGTATCAATCCTGCTCTTTTATCTTTTTTCTCTCCGCCTGCATAAATAATCCTGTGATTGTCACTGACAAAATCTCCGTCTAGTTTCACATACCCCTAAGAGGTTCAGGGGCACCTCGACGTGGTGTAATGGTTAGAAAGCTTGTCTTGCTACATCAAGTACGACCGAGTAGTGAGTTCGATCCTCACTGGGTACCCCATACTTTCGGCCTTGTGCCACATCTAAGCCGGGCTTAGAAAATCGCTACACCTAAGAGGTTCAATTTTAGCCTATTCATCTCTTGTTTTACATTATGTAAACTGGCCACAGTTGTTCAACGTCCGAACGTTCTATGTCCCGAGAGTTATTTTTTGTTTCATGCGAGCAGACGCAAGATAACGGTCCGGTGCCACCTGTCGCTCCTTTACGAGCGGGGGATAGGTTCTGAGGAAGTTTATCCCCTTTACGCCGTTTGTGCTAACAGTCGATGGATGACGGTTAGGTGACACCTGTTGCACGTCAGTACTTACCGGGCGAGGAGTTGATTCCCATAGACTTAAACCCCATTCACGCGGTTAGGTTTCATATTGTGCGTGTTATCTGCCATGATATTACTTGGGATTAACATTGAAGTACTACTATAGTCGTATATGATTTTAGAAATTTCATGTTGGAGTGACATTTAAAAAAATAGATTTAAAATTCATTATTTTTTAATAGTTCATCGAATGATAAAGGAAATCAATTATTTTACAAAATGCCGTAAGCCTTATATATATATATGATTGAATACTTTACAGATATTATGTCTGCTAATTTTTTTTAACAAAATCCGTTCATACTCACGAATAATCTTCCGTATATTGGTGTTAAAGGATGAGAGAAATGTGGTATAGCTATTTAAATATTTTATTTTCATTTTCCAAGTACTTTCGGTCTTTTTCCAAGATCATCTTCAGGGGTGCAAGTAATACAAAAATATATGTTAATTAATAGAAGTATTTATACAAAGTTGTGCGTTGTTATCCATTACCGTAATTTTTTCATTGTGCTTTTAAGTGCAAAATGGTTGACAATGAAATAAAAGAAATTTAAATAGCTATCGCACATTTCTCTCATCCTTTAACATCAATACACGGAAAATTTTTATTCGTGAGTAAGAACGGATTTTGTTAAAAATTAGCATACATAATGTCTAATTTATTCCATCAGACAGGCCAAAAGAGAATTTGCTGCCTAAATACACAAAATTTATATATATAAAGAAAGGAGGAACCACAAACGTTTTTGGTCGTAATTTGGATTTTTAAAAAAATATATTATGCTTTATTTTCCATAATTTTGCTACACGAGTTTCCGGTCTCGCGACCTTCATCACGCAAAGAATGGATATTTTCACATTATTAAAAGGAATTAATTTTTCATGTTTTTCGATGTTAAATGTTCTAGATATTAGACATTCTTTTTTGTGTGTTAGTAACCCAAATGTCTTTAACGATTAAAAAAAAAAAAAAAAAAAAAAAAATTAATTCTACGCGTAACGTTACCTGTCTTCACCTGTTCTATAAATACTTTCATGGTATTTTTTTTCGGATGAGCTTTTCGCTATAGTGGATATAGTAAGAATTAGAGGGTGTTGTTTTAGTGTTAGGAATATTGTGGTATGTTTGTGTCAGTGTTTGTGGCTAGCTAAGTTTAAATTTATGACAGAAGAAGAACGTCTTTTTTCCCCCCATTCCCCCATTTTGGCCTTGTGTCACATTTTCTTTACATAGCAGAATAAATATCGTTCTTCGCTACGGTACTCATCGGGGCTAGTTTTAAAACTTACCCTCCTCTCACAGACAATGAATTTTATATATGGGAACTATTTAGGATTTTCATAGAGACAATGAGGTATTATGGTGGATGTAATAAGAAAGGTAAGTAAGAATGTGTTGTTTTGGTGTTAAGAATATTGTGGTATGTTTGGGTCAGTTTGTGGCTAGCTAAGTTTAAAGTTAAGGCAGAAAAATGCCCTTTTCCCCATTCCCTTTTTTGGCCTTGTGCCACGTTTTCTGTACATAACAGAAATAAATATCACTCTTCGCTATTCTGTCAAGACTTTGAATTTAAGCGCAGTACTAGACTATTTTGCCGGTAAATATAAATAATGTAACTAGGAATATATTTGAGATATTCAGCGCAGTGCATGTGTGAGCTGTGTAGGCATGGCTTGAATAACATGGATTCTGTGGTTTGCGACCGCTGTCTTCACTGGGTGCACCTGAAGTGTATCAACAAGAGAACTACATCCAAGGGCAACTTTGGGATTTACAGAAACTTATGCCTGAAGTGCTTGAAATAATTATTGTTCGATTTCTCTTAATAATTGATGGTGAATAAATGATTTTAACTTATTAACAATTGATGGTAAAAAAAAAAAAAGATTCTAAATTGTCTTCACAATTGATGGTGAAAATAAACTTCTGTGTTAAATATGTGTTATTTTTTACATTACCTGCCTTCACCCTTGTTTTCCATATTCACGACGTTTCGGCCGTTGTACGCTCCGGTTTTCTTCAGGTGAAGTCTTGCGGACACATGGCCCAGTGGGTAAAAGCGTTGGTTGAATCAAGTGACATGGCCCAAGGAGTTGTTAGCTGGCTACAGCAGAAGTGAACAAAATCTTGGAGAGTTGATTTAAAAAGGGAGATAAGCGATACCGAGACGTCCGGAAGAGGCATGATACGTGGAACTAGAACAATATACTCAGTTGAACGAAATAAAGGGTACAGTTCGAAATTCCAATCACCTGAAGAAGACCGAAGCATACAACGGCCGAAATTTCGTGAATATGGCACCAATGATGAGGGCAACAGCGCCAACAAAGTATTAATACTGTAAATAATTGCAATATCTCATCTCAGAAATAGAGACAGATATTAACTGCCTTCATAATAAGAAATAATTTACCGTCAAAATAGCCAGGAGTGAGGGGCCTATTTTACCGAGACCGGTAAAATAAACTTAAAAGTATGTTTGTCTATTTTAGCGGGTCCGGAAAAATAGTTTTTTTTTTTTGTTTGTTTGTTTGTGTTTTTTTTAAAAGGTTTTCATGGAACGCGTTTAGGAAAACCGATTTTGAAGTTTTCAACATTTAGGGCGGTAATGTCATTTCCTGCTTGATGATTTATGCACGTGTAACACGCGCTGTCACGAATTTAGAGTAACCAAGAACGTAGGTACCGGTGTATATGCCAAGTTAATTTCGTACAGTGAATGTTCTTAGTTGTTATCAGTGACGTGTTTTATCTGGTTCGGGCGTATTGGCATTTATCTGTATATTAAAGTAGCAGAAACGCCGTCTCTTTCTATGAGCGATGATCGTTAAAGCATTTGTGAAAATGACAATAGTAGGCGATTAACCACATTCCGGGAGTTATTCAACGATACATTAAAAAAAAAAAAAAAAAAAAAAAAGAAAGACGGAAATCACTCATTCAACTAAATATGCCCGGGAGAGTGTTTATTTAGGAGGTGCTAACGTTTTGTCTTCAATGTCATCCAATAGAAAGAACGACTGTCCAGCGATATAACAAAATTATCT